TTGTAGCCTGCTTTCATTCATTTAAGATGGTTTACTTATACATAGATACATACAAAACGTCTAAATATAAAGAAAAAAAAAAATAATAATAAAAAAAAAAACCCATCCTGAAACTGAAAATGCAAATGTGTAATTTGAGTTTCAAAAATTTTATATAAATTCTCAGAAACGTGCAACAAGTAGCGGTACAACTGCAACAATGTTAAAAGTAATGGGTGCTTATTTAAAACAAATAATTGTGTAACGTAGAAAATCTTTTCTCTTTTACATACAGTTGTATTTGTTTTCTAAGTAATACGGATTTTATTAAATAGCGTAGATTTGTTGATGATTTTTAATTAGCGAAATATTTTAACTGTTTAAATATGGATAAAAACAACTTTTAGTGTCCTTAAAAATATAGTTCTTGTCATTTTTTAATCGAGTTAGAAATACAATTAAAGTTATATCCCTTGTTTTTAAATGGGAACTAATTTATAATAATAATCCAATTCACCATTTAAAAAAGATAAAAAATTTCTATGCTCGAACTGAAGCTGAAATAATTTAACAATGCGTCGTATTACATTTACAAATACACTAGAAATTTTTAAAATTAAAACGTATGCATTATCCTTTAAAATGAAGTAAATTTGGACCAATTTATATTTTATTACGTATCAATGTACTCAAGCATGTACGTACTCACAGAAATGCATACGCAATGATATATATATATATATATATATATATATATATATATATATATATATATATATATATATATATGCTTTCTTTAAGTTTAACACATTCATTTTATTTTCAATTATTATGCGTAGAAAAGTGAACAAAGCCATATCGACAGTCAATTAAAAAAATTCAAATTAACTAAAATCGTGCATACTATTAACATTTTGCTGTGAGATATTTTTTGTCTGAGATATTTTGTCTGAGATCAATTGTCCGTGGTATCATTTGTCCTGATATTTTTTGTCCTGGTATCTTTTGTCCGTGAGATCATTTGTCCTTGAGATATTTTGTCCTGAAATCATTTGTCCTGAGATCATTTGTCCGTGAGATGTTTTGTCTGAGATATTTTGTCTGAGATCATTTGTCCTGAGATCATTTGTCCTGTCACCATATATATATGTTACGGTCAAAGCCCGAAGTCGGCCAATGCTAGGATTGGCCGGCCAATCCGCGCATTGGCCAATATCGCCTCCCATAGGTCGGTCAAAGTCCGAAACTTTGCTTGATTTCGGTCTTTGGCCGGCCAATCCGCAGACTGGCCATTGTGGACCGGCCAAAGTCTTAATTAGAAGATCATCTGGCTAGGGAAGACCGGCCAAAGTCCGAATTAGAAGATCGTGAGCAGATTTTTTTTTAAAATGCCGTATGGATCATGAAATTAAGTCTTTATTGATTATTAATAAAAGTAAATGACAGAAATATTCAAAGTTTTTATTGTACTATAGTCTCAATCTATCAATATCATCATTTGTTACAACAAGATGAACTTTTATGGCATTTAGAATTACACAGCAGCTTGTTATTTTTACACTTGAAGCGATTTGTTGTGCACTTAGTTGTGCAATTGCAGCGAGTGTAGCCTTGGCCCCCAGTCAATGATTGTGAAGATGCGATGGTTCTTAGAGATTTTTCCTCAGTGCCAACTGACGACTTTAAGAGCAGTTTTTCGTGAAGAATTGAAAACTCACTTCTAGAATATATTTGTTTTAGAACACTACGTTCCGTTCCTAGCTTGTAGAAAGCGATGTCGACGCTCATGACAACTGCAATCACGCTTCGGGGATCACCGTGACCTCTGTTAACATCTGGAAAAAGGATGCGTACATTGTCACCCACTTCACCATCTTTAAATTTTGTATTTGATGTTTTAAGCATCTTAGCACCTCGAGTTTGCAAGCCAGTATGAGCTGCTGATCTGTGTTCCATGATGTCTTGTTTGTTGTGACACAATCTGCAGATAATGTTCCCTCCGTACCCTTCGTCTGCTTCATTGGGTATTCCACACATAACATGGACATCGTTGCCACAGGATCCACAAGAATGAGCTGCACTACAGTGTTTTTCACAAACTATACAGAATCTGTTCTCCACATAATTGTCACGCAACTGGTCTGGACGTTCCGCCACGGCAGTAAATATGTTAGCTGAGGATGTCGTTGCAATTATGGCAACCTCCATTTCTTGTTCAATGTTCTCAAGATCTTCCTCAGTAACTATTTTATCAAGAGCCTGATATGGAAACTAACATGGATTTACATTTGTTTCTTTTGACAGCCATCTGCTATGTCTGTCTCATGGTCTGACGGCCCTTTTGATCCATGTCGCCTTGCATATAGAATGCTATACAAACAAGAGCTAAACAATACGATCTCAATGAAAACGCAACCAGAATAATGAAAATGCGATCACAACTTAGTCTAGATATAACATTGGCCAGGACATCCCGGCCAGTGCGCGCATTGGCCGGCCAATGTACAAAATACGCTGTCAAGTTTAAGCGCTTCGGACTTTGGCCAGTACGTCCTGGCCAGTCCGCGCATTGGCCGGCCAATGCACGAAATACGATCTTAATGCTAAGTTCTTCGGGCTTTGGCCAAGAGAGCCGGCCAATCCGCGGATTGGCCGGCCAATCCGCGCTTTGGCCGCACTTCGGGCTTTGACCGTAACATATACATACACACACACACACACATATATATATATGGTGCCCTGTCAAAACGGCCCGGGACAAATCGGCCCCGTCAAAACGGCCCCGTTAATACGACCCCGTCAAATCGACTCCCGACAAACCGACCCCGTCAAAATAGCCCCGTCAAAAGGGCCCCGACTTATTGGCTCCCGTCAAATAGGCTCCCGTCATATTGACTTGCGACATATAGGCTCCCGACAAATGGGCTCCCGATATTTAGGCTCCAGACAAATGGACTCCCGACATATTAACCCCTGACAAATAGGCTCAGGACATATTGGCTCCCGACAAAGCGGCTCCCGACATATTGGCTCCCGACATAAGGGCTAAAGACAAATGGGCTCCCGGCAAATGGGCTCACGACATTTTGGCTACCGACAAATGGGCTCCCGACATATTGGCTCCCGGCAATTGGGCTCCCGACATATAGGCTTTTGACAAAATGACTCCCGACATATTGGCTCCAGAAAAATGAATGATATGTCCACTATTGGCATAAAAGTAACCATTGTGTCCTACCTCCAATACCACCATAACCTCTTTTTAATGCCCGAATGAAATTATTTTTTTATGAACAAACATTAATTCACAAACAAATCGAGCCCTTAACAGCTAAATTCTACCAATTCTAAAGTTTTGATAATGTTTAATTTACAACAGAAAAGATCTGTTGCTTAAAAGCGAGCACAGAAGTGTAAATGTATGATATACATGATGTTAACATGATAACAGCATTTTGTTTTGATAACCTACAAGCACAGTGGCGTAGCGAGGTCGGGTGTCACCCGGTGCGGCACTTAATGGTGTCACCCCCCCCCCCCCCCCAGAGGCGTTGCGACCCTTCCCGGGGACAAACTTTCAAGTTTTCGATTTGCACCCCCCCCCCCCCCAAACTTTCGATTTGCACCCCCACCCCCTCAACTTTTTCTCTATATATTTTGCTATTTTTTGCCTTTGTGTCACCCCCCTAAATGGTGTCACCTGTTGCGGTCCGCACCCCCCGCCTCGCCTTCGCTACGCCTTTGCGTTAGGCTACAGAGGAGTTAAACGAAGAGATCAACTTCTACTTACGATGGATATTTTTTAATATATAAATATTCTGAAGGCAACATTTTGTATTTTATATGTCCTGATTTTGTATTTATACTATATTATCATGATTGCCTACTACTGCTAAAAAGTTTATTTATAGGCTGATTCTCTCAATGTCTTGCACGACAAAGTGATATAGCCTGTAGTGTTATTATAACGATTGGGCTCTGTTTGACCCGGGGGGGGCTTTTTGGAACTTTTAACCTTTTTCTTTTTTAAAATTATTTATATGTAACAAATATTAAAATTCCATTGTAAATGTTTTAATTTTTTATGAGGGAAAAGGGCCCCTATGTGCCTTGGGCCCCCATGCCTTGCTTACGCTAGCTTTACGGTAGCTACGCCACTGTGTCAGTGGTCCTTTTGTCTGGAGCCAAATTGACAGGAGCCTTTTTGTCGGGAGCCAAAATGACGCTAGCCTATTTGTCGGGAGTCGTAATGACGGGGGCCGTTTTGTGGAGAAACTAAATGGCGGGAGCCTATTTGTCGGTAGTCGTAATGACGGGGGCCGTTTTGTGGAAAAAACTAAATGACGGGAGACTATATGTCGGGAGCCAAAATGACGGGAGCCTATTTGTCAGGAGCCTTATTGACTGGAGCCCTTTTGTCGGGAGCCTATATAACGGGAGCCTATTTGTCGGTAGCCTAAATGACGGGAGCCTATTTGTCGGGAGCCTATATGACGGGGTCCATATGTCGCTGGCCCTTTTGACGGGGCCGATTTGACGGGGTCGTTTTGACGGAGTCGTTTTGTCGGGGTCGTTTTGACGGGGCCGTTTCGTCATTGGCCGAATTGACGCCGCACGATATATATATATATATATATATATATATATATATATATATATATATATATATATATATATATATATATATATATATAAATAATCCAAAATCCACATAATAGTTCATTTGAACTTTTGTTGCTCAATTCGCCCACCACGTAGGCTGGAACTGATTTAATTTCCAACACTTCAACCAAAATAGATGACTAATGAACAGAAAAATGCTATTCTTAACCTAACGATCACGTGAACACAATGACCCGGATTAACCAGCTGACCCACCGGCCACCTGATCACTTCGCGCCATTATTGAGGTCAACCACTTGAACGAGGGTTGGTTTAATGATTTAATTGCTACCCCCCGTTAAAGCTATTCTAGCTCCCGCTCAGCCGCGCACCATACACGCTGGGTAGAAAACACTTACCAAATTTATTGTTGGAGAACTCCAGGCTCAAAAGTGGGTTTTTAATGCCATTACCACTATTGATGAACTCCAGTTTCACATTGGCGTTCTGTCGAGAAAAAAAAGAACATTAAGTAGCGTTTCATTTCATTCTTCTTTTTTTGAATAACTAATTTATAAGACCTGTTATTATTTTTAATACTTCTTTATTAACTAGGGGCCACTTAGGTATAATTAGCAGAGATGTAATTATCTGAGGTGGTCTATACTTTAATTACGTAGTTTTTTTTTTTTGGGTAGACACTTATAACTGTTACTGAACAAAGGTTGTTACTCTAATATTTTGGTTGAGTTGATTGGTAGAACGCAGTTTTATTCGTCCTTATGGGTACACGCTAAAGGTGGGGGACTTTTTTTTTTTAACCCCTAAAGGTAATAGTTGATGGGTATAGAGCAGGGGTCTCCAAACTTTTCAGTCCGAGGGCCGCATTAACTATCAAATTTCAGTTCGGGGGCCAGTTTCTTCCAGGCATGTCGTGACTTTCTGAGCAAGTTCCTCTGCCAACTCCAACAAACGTTTTTTTCAGTGGACAAAAAGATCTCCGCGGGCCGGATGAGAGGACTTCGCGGGCCGCATCCGGCCCGCGGGCCGTAGTTTGGAGACCCCTGGTATAGAGGTTAGATTAGTGTTGGTGTTATGGTATTTTGTGTAGAGGTTTGTATGCTGTAATGTGTAAAGGTTAGTTCTGGTGTCTTTTTGTAGAGATTTTTATTGGTGTCTGGTATTTTGTGTAGAGATTTTTATTGGTGTCTGGTATTTTGTGTAGAGATTTTTATTGGTGTCTGGTATTTTGTGTAGAGATTTTTATTGGTGTCTGGTATTTTGTGTAGAGATTTGAATTGGTGTATGGTGTTTTGTGTAGAGATTTGTATTGGTGTATGGTGTTTTGTGTAGAGATTTGTAGTGGTGTATGGTGTTTTGTGTAGAGATTTGAATTGGTGTATGGTGTTTTGTGTAGAGATTTGAATTGGTGTATGGTGTTTTGTGTAGAGATTTGAATTGGTGTATGGTATTTTGTGTAGAGATTTTTATTGGTGTCTGGTATTTTGTGTAGAGATTTGTATTGGTGTATGGTGTTTTGTGTAGAGATTTGTACTGGTGTCTGGTGTTTTTGTGTAGAGATTTGTATTGGTTTATGGTGTTTTGTGTAGAGATTTGTATTGGTGTATGGTGTTTTGTGTAGAGATTTGTAGTGGTGTATGGTGTTTTGTGTAGAGATTTGAATTGGTGTATGGTGTTTTGTGTAGAGATTTGAATTGGTGTATGGTGTTTTGTGTAGAGATTTGAATTGGTGTATGGTATTTTGTGTAGAGATTTTTATTGGTGTCTGGTATTTTGTGTAGAGATTTGTATTGGTGTATGGTGTTTTGTGTAGAGATTTGTACTGGTGTCTGGTGTTTTTGTGTAGAGATTTGTATTGGTTTATGGTGTTTTGTGTAGAGATTTGTATTGGTGTATGGTGTTTTGTATAGAGATTTGTATTGGTGTCTGGTGTTTTTGTGTAGAGATTTGTATTGGTATATGGTGTTTTGTGTAGATATTTGAATTGGTGAATGGTGTTTTGGCCCACCCCTTTCCCCACACATAAAGTCTGTAGTATTTCTTCAAACAAATTGGGGAAACCACATGTTTTTATCACACAACACAGAAATGGTTCTCACGGGGAAACTTTTTTTTTCAAATAAAAAACTGTTCATGTTTAGTTGACTTAAACACGGAGATTTCTTTTCAAATAAAAAAAAAAGTAATTTTTTTTTTACAAATTACTAGTTAAACTTTATGTGTGTCCCCTTGTCCGTCCCTGCTCATGCTTGAAAATTTCCAACTTTAAGGGTTAATTTTTAAAGAAAGCTATTCAATCTCATTACGCCATCACTCATCTTCGTACATTAAAAAAAAACAATCCGCCTCCCAGTTTGATAAACACTATCGGAATTATACCCTGTTTGAGTAAGATTCATGATTTTAATAAATCTTCTAAAAAAAACAAACATTAAACATCTGATAAAATGAATAATAAACGTAGGCATACCATCAGATAAAGCATACGCCAATTAAAAACCCATTTCTACAATTGCTAACCGCACAAGTCGTTAAAGTAAAACGAACTATATCTCGAATCGGATGAAAACACAAGCGCACACATGCGGAATGATTTTTTTTTTCAAGATGTTATTTGTTTCGATATAAAAAAAGCCCGTCATTTGATTATTGATGCATTATATTGCTCTGATGATGTTTTATACTTCTGTACTTCAAAATAGGTTTTAAATGATATTATTTTTAAGAATTTGACTTGAAAGAACGACGAGGGTGGTCATTTAACATTGACTGCTTTAGTTAGTATGGCTTTATCCTCGGCTAAAGACACCTGGGGGTAGATGAAGTAGAGTTTACCTGTTTTAATGACCTCGGCATACAATGGAAAAGTGTGCTCAACACTATGCCCAATCGACTTTGTTTTCAAACGTGAGTCGGGTACCCATCAGAACTGGGTGGCGTAGCGAGGTCGGGTGTCACCTGGTGCGGAACTTAACGGTGTCACCCCCCCAGAGGCGTAGCGACTCTTCCCGGGGACAAACTTTCAATTTTCGATTTGCACCCCTTTCAAACTTTCGATTTGCACCCCCCCCCCCCCTCAAACTTTCGATTTGCATCACCCCCTCAAATTTTTTTCTCTATATATTTTACTATTTTTTGCCTTGGTGTCGACCCGCTAAATGGTGTCACCCGGTGCGATCCGCACCCCGCCCCCCCCCCCTCGCTACGCCTCTGACTGGGTGCACTATGAGAGCTGGGTGTACTTAGACTCCAGATTTCAGGTTTAGCAGACTTAATTAAGATCTACTGTTCGACCACGTCAAAGATGGCTTAAGAGGATTAAAAAAGCTTTGAACATGAGGAAAGATGGACAACAGCAGAAAGTATAGGTTTCCGCATTTTGCTGAGCATATACGTCCACATTTGACAGGAAAATAAAAGTGGCGAGAAAAATCTAAGGGAATCGTAGATGAAGTAGATTTTTTTTTTTGATGGATTTGATGGATCAGTGTTGAAATTTTGATAATATTGATAGACATTTAGGAAATTCATGTCACGCAAACAATAAAAGTGGGAGTGAAATGAGTTTAAAGCAACACAAAATTACCTCTAAAAATGTTTTAAAACTTTTGCGGTCATCGGTATCGTGTTTTCCGGTTGGTCCCTCGTCTTGGCTGTAGCCTGCAGTGCGCATGTCAGGATATGCTGGGTCAATGGGGTATCTGGGTAAGGGCGGCGACCGGAAGTTATGTTTACACGGGGAGGCGCTGCGGGCGGGGGACAGGGGGGAGGGGACGTTGGATGACGTCGGAGAACACGAGCCTGACATCACGCTGCCCACGTCACTGCCCGGTGACGTCATGCTGTGGCACGGGGCGCCGTGAGGGTCCTCGTAGTTCTCGGTCGGGTAAAACGGGAAAACACCTTTGGTGTAGAATCTCACTGGTGTTGGGTGACACACACCATTGGTGTTGAAGGTGGGGATGGGTCGAAAAGTGGGAATGCCCAGAGCCGGACTGTTGGAGGTGAGTTCCTGAGGAATATTGAGCTGGCAACCTGGCCGGATCAGCGGGTGAGTCATATGGGAAAGTACCGGGTCGTTGATGAAAGGGCGAATGCGAACCAGGGGAGGAAGCGGTTCCGTCTGGTTATTCTGGGGAGGGATGTTTATACCCGGTTCTTTAAGGTTATTTTTGTGGGTAAAAGATTCAGCCGGATCACGGTGTCTGTTTGTGTTCGAATTATGGGGCAAAGTGACGGTCGTCAAAGTGGGAAAATGATTTCCTGAGTTCGTTAAACGGGGCGGAAATAGGATCGGCTCAAGTCGCGTGTGGTCCTGATTGTCCAGCGTTGTATTCTTCGTGTGACCCTGATTGGTCACCGTTGTATTCTTCGTGTGATCCTGATTGGTCAGTTCAATTTCACGCGTGTACTCGTGGTTGGTTAGTTGTGTCCTAATCTCACGAGATCTCGAGGCTGGTTCAAGCGGACGAGACTTCGTATGGACAGTGCCTGTTTCATACGACCTCGCGCCCAATCGATCTTCTAACGTCGACTGATCGCCTCTCGGCAAAATTTCCAGCGGAGAAGTTTGAGGCGTCACCACATTGTCCTCGCCCTCGCTATCACTGCTGTCCTCCATGATACTCGAGATTGTGAACGATTTTTTCCTCCGGGTTTTCCTCGTCTTGTAAGTTTTTCTCGGGAACGGCGTGCCGGCAGTTTCGTTATGCGGCGTGTCGGCATACGTCACTTCCCGGTGCCTGGCGATTTCTGGGAAAATATCTCGAGCGTGCCAGATGGCTCTTGCACAAGAAGGACTTTGAACTTGGGTTTGGTTATGGGGAAGGAATTCAGTTTGTTTCACCGGAAGTGATGAAATTGCGGCGTCGTCTGGAAGATGGGTAAAAGTTGGACGCGTTTTTGGAGACTGGGAAGGTCTCGTAACTGACGGGACTGGGTTCAAATCCTGCTTGGAGGGGTGGGGCCAGTAGACGTTAGGGAACTCTGAAGCAGATGGAATTGTTACGTCATATGGTGTGTGCGACACATCTTGGGAGAGATCTGAAAATATAAACAAGACAATTTTTTAAACGATGGATGTATAAATTAGACGGTATATAGTGGAGGCGTGGTCGAGTCGGCAAAAAAAAGCACATGCTTGATAAATTCGAAAAAAGTCTCGAGTTCAACCCTCTGGCAGATAAGGCTTGATCCCTTCTAACACTAAAAATTAAAAACGAAGATGATGATGATGAGACGGTATATTTTTACAAGCTTTTATTTAACTCACTTCCTCGTCAGTCGTCAGTCGTCAGTCTAGACGGAAACGCAGGAGTGAAAATTCGGACAGTTCTACTTGACCGATACGATTCACAGTTGGCACGTGGGTCAAGACATGAAGACAATGCAATCTGAAACTAAATTTGACTTAATTGGATGCCTAATTAATTTTTTATGAATTAATAAATATTTGGACCGAATTAGTAGGCATGTCTAGCCAACCACACCACACGCGTCATCACCTTCAATAGCTGCGCCATCACGTAATGGCTGCGTTCAAAAACCATTGCGCGCCTACTGAACGTGATGTTCAGTAGGCGCGCAATGGTTTTTAGTCATGTAACTATATTGTAAATAAAACATGTAAAGTGCTGAAAAAAAAATTCATAAAAAACGTTTTAATAACAAGCTTTTATGTAATGATGCACTAAAAAGTAGAAAATAAATTATAGACTACTATTTAAATAACTATAAAGAAAAGCGTGGGTGTCTTCCTTAACATTAGTAAAGGTATCCAATAGATACTAAAGTGACCCACGCTTTTCTTTATAGTTATTTAAATAGTAGTCTATAATTTATTTTCTACTTTTTAGTGCATCATTACATAAAAGCTTGTTATTAAAACGTTTTTTATGAATTTTTTTTTAAAATACTTTATCATACAAACCAGTTGCAAAGAAACACCGGTATAAGATAATTATTGTAACATGCCAGGGAAACGGCGGTTGGAGAGGGGGGGGGGGTGGGGGTGGGGTGAGTAACAATAGGTCGCAGAGTCTACAATGAACTACCAGCTATGATTAGTAGAACGCGAGTCACTTTGAAATTTTGGCTGGCGAAAATCTACGAGCTATTATTAGCAGATCGCGCGTCGCGGAAGCGAGCGTGGGAAAATAAACCTGGGAAAGTTCAAGTTGGACTGTATAAATACAGTGTAATCAACCAATCAAATATTAGGATTAAAATTGTGGATTTTCTAAGAACGTTCCTTAAACACTGCAGTGGTAGAGCGAATTAAACAATTAAAGTCACGATGGAAAATATTGATTCAATAATTTTAACAGAGGCGTAGCGACCCTTCCCGGCGCCCGGGGACAAACTTTTCGATTTGCACCCCCCCTCAAGATTTTGATTTGCATCCCCCCCCCTGAAACTTTAGATTTGCACCCCCCCTCTTGAGATTTCCATTTGCACCCCCCTCAACCCTAAGGTCGGCGCCCGGGGACATATGTCCCCCTCTCCCGCCCCCCCCCCCCCTCGCTACGCTACTGAATTTTAATTACGTTTTTCTTTGAATTATTTGTATAACTTTAAATTTGGAAACAAAAATATGAAAAGTATTAGTAATGAAGACAATAACTCATTTGAATGCTGCCATCAATGACTACTTTTTACGCTTTTGTGCGATAAAAAAATTATATGTGTACAGAAGGGATTATCAGATTATCAACCAAATGTATTGCTTTAGATTTTTAAAAAATTTTGACAGAATATTCGAAAGATGTGTGGGAATCTCCTTCCCTTCCTTATATATATAAGTGTAAGTGCAATAACGTAGTTGCGACAGTGAGATAGTAAATATCTTTACAATCATCAGTGAATAGCCCTCTTTGATAAAGTGCGCTTCTTTTGAGCAGTTCCCCCTAACGGTTCATCGTTCTGCAAATAACAAAAGAGAAAGAAAACAATAACGGCCCAAATGGCGTTTTGTGCGGGCCAAGAACCGACAACAAGCTAAACAAACAGAAGAGTGCCCGCTGGCAGAAAGACTGAATTGAATCGCCGTGTCCCCCCAAGCGACATCCACCAGACGTCTGTCAGTGAAGATTTTCCAGAACTTTCTTACAACCGGCGTTGTGTTTTCTATCCTGACTGTTTGCTTTACCCATATTTAATTAATTCGTCGATAAAGGCGCGATTATCTTCCAAGGCACGCCCAGTATAGTCCCGTTTTTAAAGTTCGTGTTTACAAAAAATTTGTTGAACATAAAAATAATAAAATGTTCGACAACATTTCTCACGCTATGTCGTGTACGTGTTTTCCCCCTTGAAATTTTTGTCGCTAAAGTACTTTGTGTGTAGAGTCTATGTGTCTTTGTGTAGCTGTTTGGTTGATTGATGCGAGGATTTGTCCAATTGTCTGACTCGTTTGTCTGATAGTTAAAAAAAACTGTGAAGAATTCTTTCTAAACAAACTCTATAAATAATCCATTGTTGGTTTCAACACGCGATTGTTAGTTCTCCGTTGTTCTTGTTAGTTCGCCGTTGTTCTTGTTAGTTCGCCGTTGTTCTTGTTAGTTCACCGTTGTTCTTGTTAGTTCTCCGTTGTTCTTGTTAGTTCGCCGTTGTTCTTGTTAGTTCGCCGTTGTTCTTGTTAGTTCGCCGTTGTTCTTGTTAGTTCACCGTTGTTCTTGTTAGTTCTCCGTTGTTCTTGTTAGTTCGCCGTTGTTCTTGTTAGTTCGCCGTTGTTCTTGTTAGTTCACCGTTGTTCTTGTTAGTTCGCCGTTGTTCTTGTTAGTTCGCCGTTGTTCAGGTTTGAAGATCCTCAAACGGTTTTTCATAACGGTCCTCTTGGGGAATTTCTCAAATGTCCTGTGGTGGGTCCTGTTGTACATGTCTTGTGAAAGGCATTACGGGTATTTTCTTGAATGAATGTCCTCTTAAAATGTCCTAGCCTAATCCTGTTGTCTGATATAATGTAAAGCCAAATACAATTGTCTATTACATCGTTTCTTTCGTACCGTTTCTCCATTTAGCTTTTGGAGGGGATTCCCCCCCCCCCCCAACACAATTAAGTACAACGTGTCAACTTGTCATGCGCACTCCATTTAGCAAAAAAATGTAGCTGCTGAAAAAAGTTTCCTTTCGAACCTGACAGTTCATGGGTCAAATGAAATAGAGTTAACCTCTTTATTTTACCACGGTATATTAAGGGATAGTGTGGCCGACACTGTGCCCAGCCGCTTTTACTTTCCATAACATGAGTCAAGTACCCAAAAGTACCCAAAAGTACCATAAAGTACCCAAAAGTACCCAAAAAACCTGGTTGCACTCAGGCACGTACTACGGACTTTGACCCGGATATGAATTCAGAACTTTCGGGTTAGCAGTCTTATGCTCTAACATTTGACCAAGCTGTTCCATATTTTAGCTGCTAGTTAAAAACTTTTTCGTCTTCTAACTGACCACCCCACCCCACGGCCAAAACGTACCACAAAAAAAATAACCTCTACATCATATTTAAACTTTACAAGCGATCAAATCAAAACTAGTTTCTGTACAGATCTAACGTTGGTACATTTTGATTGCCCTGAAATTGGCCCTGGCTAGCTCCACCCAGCGCCCCACTATATACATTGTCCCAGGCTATCTCTACCCCTCGCCCCATACACCCATACAACAAAATTTAACCAAAAACTAGATTAATGTTTTACCAATACATAAGTCTAGCTAAAACTCAGTCAGCCGCCAGCGTTCTCCATAGATCCTGTTATGGATACGACCTAGTGTAACCCATAGTTCACCCCTAGCAATGGAATCTCCTATCAAATTCTCCCGACCCCTGGTGCCGAGTCTAGAACTCTGGTCACACCCGCTCTGCTCATGACGTTTCCCACCGTCTGCTTGACACCAGTCTCCACAACCCCCGGGCTGGAGTGTTGCTAAAAACGGCAACCCCACGACCTACATCCTCTGTTACCTAACAAACGACCACCCCCTGTTGCCTCACCCCCAACACAAGACAGCTGCACCCACGCCTCACCGCTGCACAGTTCATTCGTCACCAGTCCCTAATGTAAGTGGCTGTTGAACGTTTTGAAGCCAATACAGTTATAGAAATCATTTCTTCACACACTCTCACCGGAAGTGCTTTTGAGAAAATGTTCTATTTGTATCTGACGTTTTTGCCCTCAATTTACGCGTCTATTTCTATTTCTTTATCATTTAAAAAAAAATCGAGCAGGATTTTCGGGACAGATAATCCCGTCTCTAACAGCTGAAGGATATTTTCAGACTGTTGATACACTTCAACATAACAAGTGGTTTGGTTATAATAGTATGCAAGTCGAACTTGGTGAACTCTCAGTAGAAAGTTCCAGGGAGTTAAAATAGTGTGTTAATTGGGACATTTTATGAATCTCACCAGTGTAAAAATTTAAACGTTATAGGAATCTCCTCAATGTATGAATTTAAACATTGTAGGAATCTCCTCAGTATATGAATTTAAACATTTTAGGAATCTCCAAATTGTATACATTTAAACAATGTTGTAATCTCCTCAGTGTATAAATGGACACATTTTAGGAATCTCCTCCGTTTATAAATGGAAACATTTTTAGGAATCTTTTCGCAATCGCGAGAATAGTTGAGTTAAACAGTGGTCGAACACATCTTTAAATATTTAACGACAAATTAAGACAAATGTCAACAACCAGTAGCCCCCACAAAGCGGGTTGGGGGGGGGGTGTGGGGTGGGGGGGGGGTGTGGGGTGTGGAAGGAGAAGAAGCTGAGGTAGGCACTAGGCAACTGCTGGCACCCTCCGCCATAGTCTACAGGAGGTCGAGTCATATTAAAGCCAGACTTTATGGAATTTTCTGCGTCTACAAGAAACCATTGAAGTAATCCGCAGAACGGATTTTAGCGAGAAGCCGCCAACGATGTTCGAATGTCAAGTGTGAGGGGAAAAACGGAAGAAACTTGACAGACAGGGACCGTGTCAATCGGATGACTTGACATTTTGGCATCTTTAAATTTGTTGAGTAGGTGCGAACCGTTTTAG